TGTGTCTCCTCAGTGTCTCCTCTTGTGTCTCCTCTTATGTCTCCTCAGTGTGTCTCCTCTGTGTCTCCTCTTGTGTCTCTCATGTCTGTGTCTGCTGGTCTCAGGAGAACTCGCGTCCTTCATCTTTAGTCGTGCAGGAGCAGCGACTTCTTCAGGAATCATTTCTGTTTCTTTTCATGTTTCTCTCAGATTGATTTAAAGTTTGCATGTTGCTTGTTTTTTTAGCTTTACATCTTTTGTTAAAGTTCTGACGTAGAGAACGTTTAACTCTCGTCAGTGATTTATATGATACGTGAGAGGACATCTGTTCATTCTCCACTAGCTCTCCATGTTAGATGACCAGCCTCTACTTCTTCTTCTACTCTGTTTGCTGGTAGATTACAGACATGTAGTGTCCTCCAAACCAGCGGATGGAAACACCAAATGAACTTGATAACTAAATGTAAACATGAGTCATGACCACCAGACTTTGGGTCAAATGAGTCTCACTACGTTGATCTCTGTGTCTCAGTGAGAAGTTCATGGTGCGACTGAACAAGAACGGAGGACCGAAGAATCCGGAGAAGGTGGACAGACTGTGTGCGCTCTTCACGGTAACGTGTAAATGTGAAAGGTGTGATGAAGATGCAGGTGCTTGTAGGAGGAAGGTGACAGTGAGGATGCTCTTGTTCTGTTGTAGAATCAGCCTGAAGACGATGCAGCAAACAGTGAATATAGAAACATATTAAAGTCTGAATTATTCAATGAACACAGCGTCTAGAATGTACGACTCACTGCAGGTTTGTGTCCAGTGATTCAGACGGATGATGATAATAATAATAAACGATGTAAAGAGACAAAAGAGTTGAAGCTGCTGCTGTCTGTCTCTACTGATCTGCTGACGGTGTCACACACACGATGCATGATTAGAATAAAGCCGGTCGTCTTCTTCAGCACGATGAGCGTCTTCTTCAGCACGATGAGCGTCTTCTTCAGCACGATGAGCGTCTTCTTCAGCACGATGAGCGTCTTCAGCACGATGAGCGTCTTCAGCACGATGAGCGTCTTCTTCAGCACGATGAGCGTCGTCTTCAGCACGATGAGCGTCGTCTTCAGCACGATGAGCGTCGTCTTCAGCACGATGAGCGTCTTCTTCAGCACGATGAGCGTCTTCTTCAGCACGATGAGCGTCTTCTTCAGCACGATGAGCGTC